GGCCCTGAGCCTGGTGGGGCAGCCGCTGGCCCGGCAGCAGGTGGAGAAGGCAGTGAGGGAGTTCCTGGGGAACCACAGTCCCGTCAAACCCCTCGTCATGTCCTTCCACGGCTCCACGGGAACAGGGAAGACCTACATGAGCTCCATGCTCGTCCGCCACCTCTTCCAGGGTGGGCTCCAGAGCCCCTACGTTCACCACTTCTCCCCGATCGTGCACTTCCCCCACGCCGAGCGGGTGGAGCAGTACAAGGTAAGGGACGCCTCCCAGCACCCTGCCGCCCGACTGGGCTTTCCTTGGTTCTGTCCGTCTGGGTCCTCAGGACGTCCACGTTCAGGCTGTTTCCTGAAGCAAAGCAGGAATCGAAGCTCTTTGCTTTACCCTCTCAGACACGGCTGAGTGGCTCCACGCGCTGGCTGAGGGACCCAGTAGTCGCTGTGATGTACTCTGGCACTCGGTTATCACTTTCGCCTTCCCCACGGCAGTCCTTGCCGTGATCCTGTTCTCATTCTTTAAATATTGACACAGCCCTTTGAATGCACAACCAGCAGTGCTTCGCGTAGATGAAAGGCAATAAAATTCTCCCGCTGCTGTCCAAACAGCTCGGTGGCTGTGAAAACCTGTGTATCGCTAGACTCGTAATCCCCTCCTGACACAGCAAGCAGCCCCTGAACAGCAGCTCTGGACTCTTAACCGGGCCGCTCTGTCTCTTGAAGCTGACAGAGGGAAGAAATCCAGACGTGCAGGTGAGCTGCCAAACCCTCAGCAGAGCAGGCAATCGGCGCACCGGGACGTTTGCTTTCTGGGTGTTTGGAGAAGTTGCTTCTTGTACTGTGTCCTTAAAAGAAACACTCTCGCAAAGGCAAAACCCATGCTGGGTGAAGTGCTGCAGTTGAGAGTTACACATGAGTCGTTTTGCATGGGCTGGCATCTACGCTGCGGTAACTTCAGCCACCGTAAAGAGCCAGAGCTCTGCTGGGTGAGCGCAGGCACACGTGTTTGCACCGGAACACGAGCTGACAGAAAGCACTCGGTAGCTGGGAACTGCGTAGAAACACAGTGAAAGAACACAGGGAACTGTAGGAGTCTGAATACCCAGCTTTAGTTTGCTGCCTCCTTCTTTAAGCCTGTAATAAAACATCTACAAAGGGCTAATAAAGCCGGTAACAGCCACTGTGCGAAACCCAGAATAAAGGAGGCCTCCCTGGTGCTGGCTGCTCCGAGTAGGAGGTGCTGTGCAGGGACCAGCTGCGTTCAGCACCTTCAGCTCCGCTGGAGCTCAGGCCTCAGCCATGGGTATCTCGCTGCCTTACGGTGCGGTGGGCATTTTTCCTAGGAAAACCTGAAGCGCTGGATCCAAGGGAACCTGACAAACTGCGGACGGTCGGCCTTTCTCTTTGACGAGATGGACAAGATGCACCCGGGCCTGATCGACGTGATCATACCGTTCCTGGGACCCTCGTGGGTTGTGTACGGGACCAACTACCGCAAAGCCATCTTCATCTTCATAAGGTAAGAGGGGTCCCGGTGTGGCATCGCGGGGCCTTCCAGCACACCACTTCTCATTTGGGCAGAGGTCGTACCTGCTGCAGAGCACACGATTGTTTCGCTTTGCCTTCTCCAAGCTTTGAGCCTCTTCCAAGGGACAGTGTTTCATTGTCAACAGGCAAAACTGGAGAGTCTGAAAAAGCTACCTTTATTTGGCTGCCTTTACAGGGGTTATTTTAGGCCAGGCAGCTGGGAGACACTGGCTTGCACTTGTGCAGGCTGGAGGGTGCCAGATGCCACCTCTGTCCTGCAACACCGTTTTCCTGAGTACCTGCCGAATAAGCATCTCATTCTCGTGCAGCAACGCGGGAGGGGAGCAGATCAACGAAATGACGCTGGATCTCTGGCGTGCCCGCAAGGACCGGGAGGAGATCAGCCTGCAGGACCTGGAGCCGGCCATCTCCAAAGCCGTGTTCGAAAACCCTCAGAGTGAGTCCGTGGAGCAGAGCCATTCCTGTGGGGTCAGAGCCCAGCAGAAGGAGCTGGGCTCATTCCGGCAGCCACTGTCACTGCCTGCCACCTCCCAGGCAGCCTGAAAGGGACCAGGGGGTTTGAAGGAAGGGAACTGCGATCCCCCCGACACTTCCTGGCAAAGGGAAGAACAGCCTTCCAGGCCAGCAGACTGTTACCATGCTTCGTGGAGTTCTTTGGAGACACAGGGTACTTACAGCTGGGGGATGGCAAACAGCACAGCGTGCTCACTGGAAAGGCACCAAGACGGACCGATGCCCACTGCCTGCCTGGTTCTCCTGGCTTTGCCCTTGGCACAGGGAGCAGAGTTAAATTGGGGGTTGGAACTAGACCATCTTTAAGGTCCCTTCCAACCCAAACCATTCAATGATGCTATGAAAATCTGACTAGTCAAGCTAAATCCTCATATTCCCGGAGAGCAACAGGTCTGCTTGGGGCAGGGAGGGAGGCGACAACTGGTGGGTTCAGCACTCTCCTTGTAGAAAACTGGAGCAGATCTGTCTTCAGCCAAGTATTCTGGCTTCGAGCTAAGCAGCTCTTGGAATTCCAAGGACTGCAGAGACTCTCTGAAGGTAAAACCCGTCTCTTCCTTTGCTTTTGCAGGTGGATTCTGGAAATCCGGGATCATTAACGAACATCTCATTGACTTCATTGTGCCCTTCCTCCCACTGAAGCGCCACCACGTAAAGCAGTGCGTTGTCAACGAACTTGTCCAGCAAGGCCTCGAAGTACGTCCGGGTGTTGTCCAGGAGGTGGCTGACAGCATCCCCTACTTCCCAGAAGAAGAGAAAATATTCTCATCAACAGGCTGCAAAACAGTGGCCTCTCGGATCAGTTTTTTCTTCTAGCCACTGGCGAGGGTCTTGCTGGGATCCGCAGGGGCTTGTATGTGCAGCTGTAAAGCAGCAGAGCCCAGGGCTGGCAGGATGAGCAGCGGGAGCTGCGGGTTCCCTCTTGGCAGCACGAGCGCTCTCCGGCTGAGCTCGTCTCTGCAGCCCCAGGGATGCCGCTGCAGGATGCCGCTGTGGGACCAAGTCCAAGTGATGTGATTTAAAGCACTTTACTGATTTACCCTTGGCCAGGCGAGGGTGGATGCGGCCAGCCTGGCACACTGCCCAAGACATCTGTGACCACAAGGGGAAGATGCCAGGAGGGCCTGCAGTGACAGGGAGGTTTCTCACCCTGCCAGCAGCACCCACCTGCAGCTCGCCCCTCTCCCGGCAGCTACTGATATCCAACACATCGAGGTTCTGAGCCCACAGAAGAATAGTCTTTCCTATTTTAACTTTTTTTTTTTTTAATAACCTTTTTAAGCATGGCTGTGCGTCAGCTCCTTGGTACAGTGTGACTGTGCTGGTGCCGACTCCTGCAGCGCTGGCCTGTGAACACGTTCAACATGGCAGCAATATTTTCTTTTCAAGGAACTTTTAGAGCCAAATTCTTTCCAGCTTCCTTTCACTGTGAACAGGTGCTGGTAGGGACCAGCTTCACCATCAGGTGTCAGGGGGGTAGCGTGGGAGTTGGCAACACTGGATCTGCCAGGAGCCAGGTTCTTCCCACCACCCCCTTGTCCATCTTTCCCCAAGGTCCAAAGGATTTCCCTGCAGCAAACCAGGAAAACAACAATGAAACTTAGATGCGTGCTGCACCCTGCCAAGCATGGGGCACACAGCACCACTGGCCTTTGCCCAGGTTTTAATCTCTGTGCAGTCAGTTATGGGAGAACAGGTCCAAGTAACCACAATCGGTCACCCTCTAGGAACAAACTGCGCGAGGGATGGGTGCAGGGACGCTTCCAGAACTCCCGACGCTCCGCTCGGGCCCTGTGCTGAAATGAGCTGCCAGCACTTGGGACCAGTCCAGCTCCGGGGACAGCAATTTTAGCCACCATCCAAATGCTGCCCAGGAGCTGGCCTACAGACAGACACAAAAATTCTGCCTCTTCCAAAAATGTTATGATTTCTAATTTTAAAATAAATCTTTTATGAAATAAATGGCTGGGATTCCTGACTACAGATAGCGCGGAAGGAGGTGGAGGATTTGCAGTTCCATGGAAACAGCTGCCTGATGCGATGGGACTTTGGGGATTTAGCGGCACAGAGCTGATGCTCTCCACTTCAGTAACTGGAAACAAGACAACAGCCTTTCCCCGGGGAGGAGGCGAAACAGCAGTAGCTGGGCCAGACGTTCTCCACAGAGGAGCCAGCATAGGTCCAGGAAGGCCACTGGGTCCCCCTGCTCCAGCGGCACTTCTCCCCCTCTGCAGAGCTCACCCCTGGGCCCAAGGCCACGTTGGCAGGGCTGGTGCCAGTGCAGCAGGAGGTGGGAGCCACGTCACCTCAGCCAGACACAGGAGGCCTTCTGCTCTGAATTAGGGTCGAAGAAATGGGAAGAAGAAAATAAGGAGGAAGGAGACCTGCCCAGCGGCTCTGGCACACGGCTGTTGTAAGAGCCAGGCTCTAACACTCGCTGCTTGGCTTGGACCCTCACCCCAGCAGGACCTTGACCCAAGTCCCCAATACAGAACAGAAATACCAGGCTTGCCCCAAACTGAACGAGAGGTAGGCACATAGACTGCAATCGAGGTAACAGGCTGAGAATGTCGCCCAGGGCCCAAGGAGAGCATCAGGGAGTGGGTGCAGGGCTGCACTTCACTGTCCGTGGGGTCGAGCTGCACCATCCCTCACGTTCTTGACCTTCCTCAGGCAGAGGCAGGCCCTGGCCCAGCACCAGTAGCACAGCAGTTTCTGGGGATCGTGCTCAATGGCTATAGAGAAGCGAGCTTCTGCCTGCCGGTGCTGTCTGCGAGGGGATGGGAGCCAGCACACTCCTCAGCCCAGCTTGCCACCAGCCCTGGGGCAGACTGCACCAGCCCACCCACTCACCTCGCCACCCAGTCTCACCGTCCCTGCTCATGCAACACCACTGCAACTCATCTCCGCACAACACAGTCCCCCAGGCTCAGCTCCAGCGCCTGCTGGTAATCCGCTAACACGTAGGCCAGTTCCCCCCGGCGAAAGAAGCAGTCTGCAGCAAGGCAGCGTCAGCATCTCAGTTAAATGAGGGTGGCTGAGGGCTGGCTGCCACCCCTGGACTTTGTCTGGAGCAACCTGTGCCAGTGGGAAACACACACGGCATGTGTCCAGCCCAACTCAGCCAGAGATTTCAGTGTCATTAGCCAAAAGCTCTGAGCTCTGCCAGTCTAGAGGTGCCACCCGGTCTGGAAGAGAGCAGCCATTCCCAGCCATGCCCCCAGGACAGGCCATGGGGGTGAAGGAGCCAATCCACCAGTGGTAAATCCCAGCTCCTGGTACCTCTCCCTGTGGCTGAAACAGTCCAGGCAGGCACAGCTACGGACAGGGGCCAGGACCAAGGGAGAACCCAGGGACCCTACCGCCCATTTCGGTCACCACTCCCTAATGCAGGACCCCATGCTCAATGCCTGAGCGCAGACGCTGCTGTCTGACACCTCAGCCCTCACCCGAGGCCCCGCTGCAATCCCCAGCCCAGGTCCATGCCTCCTCTGTTGACACAGAGCCCCTCCTCCCTCCTCTCATCCCACACAGCCTCACCAAGCAGCATCACAGCCTCATCGAATCGACCCAGGGTGTAGCAGTGCACAGCGCAGTCACTGTAGGGGAGCACCTTCCTGAACGCCAGTGTGGCCAACTGGAGGTCGCAGAGCTGGAGGCAGGCCTCTGCCTGCTGCTTATACAGCCCTGCCTGCACCACAGACAACCCTCAGCCCACGCTGGCCCAGCCCAGCAAAACCGCCCAGGATCAGCCTGGCAGGAGGTTAACAGCACCCTGAAGCCAGATGCCAGCGTGAGAGCCAGCCTAATGCCGCTGCCTCCCGTCCCCAGCTCCCAGCCTGGTGCATCCCCAGCCCTCTGGGGACCTTTTACCCTCTGCAGATCCAGGCTGAGGGCTTTCAAATAGGGGGCGATGGCTTCCTCCCGCTGGCCACAGAAGTCCAGTCCTTTCTGGCAGCTGTGGAGAGGAAAAGAGCCATGAGCAAAGCCCAGAGACGTGCTGCTGGCCCAGGGGCTGCCACACAGCCTCGGATCCCATTAGCCCCCTGCCATAGCCCGAGGCCCCTCTGAGGCTGGTGCCAGCGGGAACGCAGCAGGCGCAAACACGTAAAACGCAGAGCACAGCCCCCGGCACCGACAGCTCCCGCACAACCGCGGGCAGGGGCCGCGCTTCCCTCAGGGACCACC